TATCTTCAAGCCTTTAAGATCCCAGACGCTGTATCTTTTGGTAGCTGGGCACCATCAGCTTTCTTCACCACATTTGCTTACGCACCCATTTTGTCTTCAGCAGTCGTGTCAGGGAAGGTGAGCATCATAGAGTGGCGTGTTAATAGAACAAAGTTTTCTGTATTGAGGGAGTGCTTGAGTGGAGGCCCAATGTCCAATTGCTGCCGTAATACTTTATATGTGCATATATGTGTACATAGATCTATTCCCCTATCATTATCAGATATATGATTTGCTTTTTCTCTGAATTTTCTTAATGGTGTTTTTGTAACACAAGTTTTTAATTTAATTAAATTGTATTTTTTTTCATAAGAGTACAGTTTATTTCAACACATTAAACAAAATTTGAAACGACTTCCTTGGGGAAGCAAACAAACACACCATCCCTGAATTCCGTATCTGCAGACTTGGCTTGAAGTCTACAACATATTTTAGCAAAACACCTAGTAGAGGTTTTTATGTACACGGTAAATATCAAATGACTGAGCTCAAAAATTAGACATTTGGAAAAATCAAATCATACTTGCAAAACCATAGGCAAATGTGTAAATTGAGAATGTGATGAGTCTAATCAGAAAACGTCTTTGGATTGTTACATTTCTATTGGTATGGGGAAAAGCATTCGTCTGTCTGCCATCGATACTCTATCAGAACGGAGCCAACATTGTGAAGGAGCGAGTCCTCACTAAGACTGCAGAAAAAGCAGAACCTCCTTTAAACAGGAAGCTGGTTGAAAAGGAGCAGACCGTGTAAAAAAGCCGGGGAAAGACAAAAGGTTTCACTTCTTCGCTTCCCACCTCTCTTTGGTCAGTTTCCAGAGTCAGTTAAAAATTCACTTAACTGAGTTCCAAAACCTTCCCCACTGTGCCAATCTGGCTTTGACCCGTCAGCAGTTTTCTTCAAAATTAAAAATCAGTGATGAAAAAAAAAACTGTGGTGAATGATCCAACAAAATGGATCAAGGATCTAAATAGAAGAGCCAAAACATTAAAACAAAAAACTCCTAGAAGAAAATATAGGTCTATTACTAAAGGACTAAATTGTAAAAATGGATTCTTAGCTATGACACCAAAAAAACAAAAGCAACAAGACAAATTTAGATAAGTTTGACGTCATCAAAATCAAGAGATTGTGTTAAAAATAACTTGAAGAAAGCTGATGATGGTGCCCGGCTATCAAAAGATAGAGAGTCTGGGTCTTAAAGGGTTGCAGGTAAACAAGCAACCATCTAGCTCAGAAGAAATTGTATTTTTTTAATTGTGCATGCTTTTTAGTACTAAGAATTATTGCTTAACTGAAGGTCATGAAGCAGTTCTCTTGTTTTCTTCTAGAAGTGTTATATTTTTGTCTCATCATTTAAGTGTGTGACACCCTTTTAATTAATTTTACATATGGTCTGAGGTAAGGGTCAAAGGTCAGTATATCTTTGTATTAGTTTTAATTTTTTTGCATACCAATAGTCAAGTCTCTTAGCTCCACTTGTTGAAAGGCTGGGGTCAGCACCTTCCGGTGGCACCGACTACACAAGCTTGCAGGGGCCAGGGGCCGTGCCCTTGAGACAGTGGTGACAACATGTTCCCTGCTTAATGGGGCTCCCTAAACTCATGCCATCTACAGTGAGCAGGGGAAAGCTGGGACAATCACCGGAGGCGTCCCATTAGTTTCTTTTGGAGACACTCCCAGGAGCGCTGGTGGGCTGCGGAGGAAAAACGAGGCTTTCTCCTTCCGTACACATGTCGTCTCAGAAAGCTACAGGGGCAGTTCTGCTCTGTCCGAGGGAGCCGAAACGAGCTGCATGGATGACAGCCAGTTTGGGTGGCTTCCAGCCTGGACTCGTTCCCGACGACGGTGCGCCCCAGGACTACGACTCCCAGCGTGCAACGCGCGCGCCGGCCCTCGCGCGGGGGAAGCCGGGACCGGTGTGTGGCCGGGCAGGCGCCCGACCCCTGAGTCTGGTGCCGAGGTCGGGCGTGAGCCTTCCTCAAGGCTCCGGCCTCCGCCGAGCCCGAGCCACCGAAGCGCCGGCCGAGAGACGGCACCGCTCGGACGCGCCTGCCTTCTCCGCCCGGGTTCCGGCTCCTTTCTTCCCGGAGTTTCCCTCTTGGACCAACTTTTGAAGACGGCCAATCCGAGCCGCGAGTGCTGCAGGCGCGGCCAACCGGAGCCGAGATTGGAAGCCGGGCGGGCGGCGGGAAGGAAAGAGCGTTCGCATCTGCTGAAATGGGTGGGCTGGCCAGGCTGACCCCCCTGCTGGCCGCAGAGGAGGACCCGCAGCCGGGTGCGGTGGCTTCGATGTCCCCTCCGGGCCCGGCCCCAGCCTTGGCTACCTTGTCTCCATCCCTAGTGGATTCGCCACCGCCACCCGCTAGCTATTTGGACCCGTGGAGAAAAAAGAATGACCAACTCGTTCGACAGATGAAGGTGACGCAGTCACTGGGACCTTTGCGCGCCCCAAATTCCCAGAAAGTGGTTTTGCCGCAGAATTACTTCTTCCTCTGGGGAGGGGCTGAGCTTCAGGACCCCAAAGAGCCAGAAAGGACCTAATAGTGACAGCCTTTCTCCCTGCTAAAAGGGGGGAGGAAAGCACTTGTTCTCAGTGATAGTTGCTTTCATTCTGCAGGTGACTCAAGACTCAGGGCTGTTCCTAAGGCAACAGCTCTCGGCTCAGGATGCGCTGCGACGGTTCAGGGAGCTCCTTCACATTCTGCAGGGTAAGGTACCGTAGACCAGTAGTATGATTTGAATAGTGATTTATTCGGATGGTCTGATCTGACAATTTTCTACCCTTTCCAGACTCTCTGCCAAGAGGTTGGGTTCTTATTAAGGACGTTTTGGTTGGAGTGGGGTGGTCTCTGGGTTTGGATCTTCTTTGGGGAAGTTTTGATGAGGGAGTGGTCAGCGAGACCGGCATTTGTTGCTTCAGCCCTCCCTGCAGCTGTTTCTGCTCTCCCCCTGGAGCTGACGGTCACGTGCAACTTTATTACCCTGAAAGCAAACCAAACTCAGGGCTTCACAGAGGATCAGGCCCAGGATATCCAACAGGGTCTCGAGAGAGGTAAGGGCCAGAGGTGGGCTCCCATGCCCCTGTTGGCCTCAGCCTGGGCTTACCCTTAGGGAGGTGGGAGGAGCCAAGAATCAGTCACCTCCACAGATAGAGATGTCCTTTTCTGATCCTCCGCCTCTCAGATGCGGTTGATGAGTTCTTAGTGTGATTTTTGGGCTTCTGCAGAAGGGGAAGAAGAAAGGCTGTAACGGGATGGAGAATGACATTTCACCTCAACTGTGTGTGCGTGTGTGTGTGTGTGTGTGTGTGTGTGTGTGTGTGTGTTCATTCGTTCGTGTGGTCTCTATACAGTGCTAGAGGCCCAGGAACAGCAAGGACCCAGGCTGAACTGTGGGATCAGGGAGCTGTGGAACACTGTCCTTCAGGCCGCCTCCCTCTTACCTGAGCTACTTCCAGCCCTGCACCACCTGGCTGGCCTCCAGGCTGCTCTCTGGCTGAGCACTGGCCGTCTTGAGGATCTGAGCTTGCTGTTGCAGATGCTGAATGGCAGCCAGGTAATAGGGGAAGTGCCTGGATGCGAGGACCCTTTCCCTGCGGCAGTGACATTATTGTATGCTGGCTAGGTTGGTGGTCAGAGACCTGGAACTCTTGGCTGGCTTGTCTGTTTGGGCTCTTATTGGGGGACTCTCTTGGGAGTGTGTCTCTACCTCTGTCCATATTCATGGGGGGTGATGAGAGAAGTTAACAGGTTACATCAAGTCAGGATCATAAAGTATTAAGAATACGGCCCCTTTTGTCCTAAGCACCTTTCCTAGCTATCTCTCTGGTCCTTGGCCTCTCTGCCACAGTCCCTTGACCCTGGTGCTGCATGCGGCAAGTGTTACAAAGCTCCTTTAGCTCAGAAGGCACCCCACTCTCTAAGCCAGCCTTCTGGGGAATGTCTTTTGGTTAAATGTTCTTGAGTGGAGTGCATGTGACCTTGCTCAAGTCATTTCCCAGCTTCAGTCTTAGTAACCCAGGCATGGTACCGTGCCCCATGTCCTCACAGGCTTATCCTGAGAAGGTAAACTAGACTAGATCTTCTCTGCACCAGGTTTTTCTTCTTCCCCTTATCCTTGCCCCATAACTGTCTCTTAGAATTGGGGAGCAGGGAGCAGGAGGACCCTGGAGCTCAGTTAGCTCCAATGTAGACTGAGACAGAAGAGGGGTCGTTGTGGACCTTGGAATCCTCTGGTCATGCTTCTCTTCCCAAGAATGTGGCCTCCGAGGACCTGTTGCTGCTTCTGAAGTCTTGGAGCCCCCCATCTAAGGAGTTAGATGCCCCACTGACCCTGCAGGATGCCTGTGGCTTAAGAGATGTTCTTCTGACAGCATCTGCCCTCCGTCAAGGTCAGCTATGGACCTGACTCCTTCCTGCCTTCCTGCTCCCTATCTCAAGGGGCCCTGTGGTCCTATGCTGTCAGGTACTAGTCAGCCCTAGGGAGCCATTCTGGGTTCTTGTTCCCCTCATTCATCCTCCCTCTGCACCTCTCTAAGCTCATACCTCGCTTTCCCTCAGGCCTCCAGGAGCTGATCACAGAAAACTTTCCCAGGGCACTGATCAGCCTGCAGGCGGCAGCCTCGGGTCTCTGTTCAAGGCCTGTGCTGGCCCAGGTGTACACGGCACTGGGGAGCTGTCTCCGTAAGATGGTAAAGACAGTCCTGGGGGTAGGGAGGGGAACCATGAGAGCTGTGGACTGCTGTCTGCTTTGTGAGGGCAGCTGGGGCCTGATTCCTCCCACTCCTCCAGGGCAACCCACAGAGAGCACTGTTGTACCTGGTTGCAGCCCTGCAAGTGGCATCTGTGTGGGGTCCCCCACTTCTGGAGGCCTCCAGACTATATCGGGAACTGGGGGACACAGCAGCAGAGCTGGAGAGTCTGGAGCTGCTGGCGAAGGTAGGGACAATGCCAGGTGTGAACACAGGGCGGAGGGTGACGAGGAGCTTGTGTAGAGGCAGCCGGTCAAGGACTAAGGATAAGGATAAGGAAGATGATAGATTAACTTTTCCCTTTCTGTTACCCTTAGGGTTTGAGTGTTGCGCAGAGCTCTAAAGCCCCCCAGGTTCTCATTGAGGTAGAATTGCTACTCCCACAACCTGACCCAGCCTCGCCCCTTTACTGTGGCACGCAGAGCCATGCCAAGCACCTGCTAGCAAGTCGATGCCTGCAGACAGGCAGGTGAGGTCTCCTCCGACTTGCCTGAGCTGTTCTCACTTCTGGGCCTTCCCTGGGGTGTGAAGTGCTTCTGTTCTTGGGGTTGGGGGTTAGAGCAGGGAGTGGTGGGACATAAGTTTCCACTCCATGGCTTCTTGTCTTTACTGAGAACCCTTCAGCCAGGCCCCACCTCTTGCATCTTTCAAACTCTGAAGTCTCCTCCTCCATCCATGGTATAACTAGGGAAGATCCACACTGTGCTATCAACCACCACCCTCCACCCTCCCCACTGGCCAGGGCCCTGGAGTGGCCTTCCATTACTGAGAGCAAACATTCTCTTGGGAGCTGTTGGAGGGTCCCACTAGATGTCCCAAGGTGAGGTTCACTGACTCGCACTCTGCAGGGCCGAGGATGCTGCAGAGCATTACCTGGACATGCTGGCCCTGTTGCAGGATGGCCCGGAGCCAAGGGTAAGTATGTCTTCAAGGTTCTTTGCAATGGCGCGGGAGGGTTGGGGTCCCTTTCGGAGTAAAACAGGATGGCTGTTTCTGGTTTTGCCCCTACCATTCAGTTTACAGTCCACTCCGGATGGTGGGGGTGGGATGGGTAGAGACCAGACTGGGCAGGCTTTCCAGAGTAAGTGGTCTGGAGCAACAAGTCGTAGGCAGTCTTTGCATGGCATGAGAGTCTTACTGAGGCTGGGGCAGGGGCCTCTGCAAGATACTGCACTCTCCTTCCTCCCCAGTTCTCCCCACCCGCTGGCCCCCCAGGGTCCTGCGTGACTGAGCTCTTCTTGGAGACAGCAGCTGCTCTAATCCAGGCGAACCGAGCCCAGGATGCTTTGACTGTGTGTGAGGAGCTACTCCGCCGAACTTCATTCCTACTTCCCAAGATGCCCTGGATGTGGGAGGATACCAGGAATGGAGCCAAGGAGCTTATGAACTGCCCGCTCTGGGTCTCTGCTGTTTACTTCCTTCAGGGCCAGGCCTGGGTGAAGCTGGGGGCCTCAAAAGAGGCAGTTAGTGAATTTAGCCGGTGAGTTCACGGTCACGGCTATTGAGTTCAGTTTTGACTTAGAGCCGTGGTTCTCAACCTTCCTAATGCCGTGACCCTTTCATACAGCTCCTCATGTGGTGGTGACCCTCCAACCATAACATTATTTTTGTGACTACTTCATCGCTGTTATTTTGCTACTGTTATGAATCCGGCGACCCCTGTGAAAGGGTCGTTCAACCCCCAAAGGGTTCGCGACCCACAGGTTGAGAACTGCTGACTTAGAACAACCCTACGTAGGGATTCTGAGACTGTCATTCTTTACGGGAGCAAACAGCTGCCTTGTTCCCCTCAGAATGATGTGGGTTTGAAACACCGAGCTCATTGCCAACAGTTCAGTGCCTCACCCACACCAGGGGCATGATTGGGTCCAGGGCCAGGTGCCCGTCTTGACCTCGCTTCCTCAGAGTTCCTGAGCTGGAACTTCTCCACCTCTTTTCCATGTCCCGCTTCAGGTGTCTTGAGCTGCTTTTTCGAGCCCCACCTGAGAACAAAGACGAAGGTAATCTCGACTGAATTCTCTCTTCTCTTGAAACTGTGCAATGGAGATAGTCCTGCCTTCCATGTGTCCCAACCCCCTGGGAGACTTTATGAAAGGGGCTTCTGGGCACAAGAGATAGAGCAGAACTTGGGAGTTTGGGTAACTGTGTGTTATGAAAGGGGCTTCTGGGCACAAGAGATAGAGCAGAACTTGGGAGTTTGGGTAACTGTGTGTCTGGGAGCCATTTCTTACCTTTGAGAGTGCCCCCTAGGGATTGCTTCCAACTGTGAGCCGAGGTGCAGACCAGATGTGGCCTTGCAACATCTTCGGTTAGCTGCCCTGGTTAGTCGTGGACTGGAGTGGGTGACCAGTGGCCAGCATACCAAAGCCCTACAGGACTTCCTCCTCAGTGTTCAGATGTGCCCAGGTTTGTATACTTGTGTGATGTCAGATATTCGAAAATGTGCCTGAGCAGAGCGCCCCCGGGGAGAGGTATTAGTTGTGAGTGGAATTGTGCTGTATAAACCCAGGGGTATAACCATTGTGCACATGTAGACATATGGGAGAGTTCTTGGGTTTTCCCAGTGTCCGACGTGAAGACAATGACTCCACTAGAGGTAGATTGGGTAGGAGCAGTGCTGGCGGAGTTCTGTGTCCTGGGCAAGGGAAAGAAGGCAGCATCTAGATTTATGGGTGACGTTCAAGGTGGACTCTGGGATAGGAATGGTTGGGAATGATCTCCAGTTCCATGTGCAATAGTAGGCAAGACACTTCCCTATACAATGACCCCTAAATCTCAGATCTGAGGCTCTCTACTCTTGGATTGGGGTACAGGACATCAAGATGCTTCCATTCACCTGCTTCAGACTTTGAGGAGGCTGGGTCGGAAGAATGAGGCCACTGCTCTCTGGTGGAGGCTGGAGGCCCAAATGAAGCTGCCACCGGAGGCTGCCACAGGGTGAGGCTGGGGCCTATTGGCTTGGGACCGGGAGGCACATGAAGTCCTGGAGCCTTGGGCCTGTTGTGGGGAGGAAGTAAAAGTAGAGATGGCTACCCAATCTTCCGCCTCGTCCGCACTATGAGACCAACTTCCCTCTTGCTCTGCAGGTCTCTCCCTCTATACCTAGAAACCTGTTTGAGTTGGATCCGACCCGCGGACCAGGAGTCTCTCCTAGAAGAGATTCGGACATCTCTGCAGGAGCCTTCTGATCTGGAGCTGCCAGGCTTCCTTTGACCAGCTTGACCTCGGACCCCAGGGGCCGTCTCCATGTGGGAGGATGTTTTGCTTTACTATCTTTGGGAAGTGTGGCAAGAGTTTAGCATTCCTAGATAATTCCAGTGTTGGAGAGGTTGGGGTAGTCCTGCCAAATTCAGACTAGGAACTGCGATCGTGTTTGCAGAGGAAGCACCTCCACTCCCCCCAAACAAGGCACCTGGCATTGCTTATGACATCTTTTTGTTCTTGTTTTTTTCCGCTGTTTGAGTAAAATATTTATCTCTTGTCTGCCTTGTGTGTCTACTTGAATGGTAAGGTTGAGCAGCTCTTAGATTCGGTTGGGTGCTGGATGTCTAAGATTGTTGTTGTTAGGTGCCATCAAATCTGTTTTAACCCCTAGTGACCTTATGCACCACAAAACGAAACACCGTCCGGTCCTCTGTGCCATTCTCACAGCTGTTCTGAGGCTTGAGCCCATTGTTGCAGCCAGTGTCAGCCCATCTCATTGAAGGCCTTCCTTTTATTCGCTGCCCCTCTACCAAGCATGATGTCTTTCTCTAGGGACTGGTCTCTCCCGTTAATATGTCCAAAGTATGTAAGATGAAGTCTGTAAGGGGTACTCTGGCTGTACTTCTTCCAAGATATTAGTTTGTCCTTTTAGCAGTCTGTAGTACTTTAAAAACTTTTTTCTTTTTCATTTTATTATGAATTTTTACAGATATAACAATCCATAGTTCCATTAGATCGAGCATAGTTGTATAATTGCAGCCACCATAATTTTCAAAACATTTTCTTCTTGAACTCTGATATCAGCTCCCCTTTATACCCTACCACGCCCCTGAGCCCCTTATATTATTATTTTGCCATATCTTACACCATCCAATGTATTCTTTCACCTACAATTCTGTTTTTCATTGCCCTCAAGTGGCGCTATACAGTCATCACAGCTATCAGTTCCCCCTTCTCCCTAGTCCATAGGGCTTTCAGTAGTCTTCTCTAGCCTCAGAATGCAAAGGCAGTTAGAATCTAAGATAGCCCTCTCATAACATAATTTCCTCCCTTTTGAGTTTGATGAGGGAGATGAGGAATACAATAATCATTATGGTAGGTTTCTGGAGTGCTATATCTTGGTTCTTAACGCTGAAAGAATTCACGTGGCAGAAGCATGGTTGTAATCTAAGTGACTTTTATAAGGAAAAGGGAAGTTTCAGGTATTCACAGGAAGTCCCAAAAGAGAGGCCTGAGAGGGAGCTCGCTTGGGCCCCAGGCCTGGGTGGCATGTGTGTAGCCCTGCCCTCCAACCTGCAAAAGCACACCTGAACAAGAGGCAAAGAGTGAAAAAGCATCTAAGAAGCTTGGTCTCCTTGTGACAGGCTCTTATCCCCTCCAGCTGGGGAGGCGTGGTTCAAAGTATTGATTGACCTCATTGGCTGAGTTTAAACGTAACTGGGTGATGTCATGTAGCTGGGCTTAGAGGGCTTGTGTCTGAGCATGCTCAGTTTGGATCTTTCCATAGGTGTCTAATAGGTGCTTGATTTCTTTCAACCCCCTTGTGGCCTTATGCAGGCATTGAGGAGACAAACCCCTTAGTTCCTATTCTGGCTGCCTAACAATTACTCAGAAAGCTGTGGCTTTAGTCCTTCCCATTGCTAAAAAAGAACCAAGTCCAGGGCCCTATGCTAACTGATCCACTACCATGGAGTTGATGCTGACTCACAGTGACCCTATAGAACAAGGTGGAACTGTCCCTGTGACACGGTAATTGCTTAAGAGAGTAGACAGCTCATCTACCTCTGGCAGAGCTTCTAGTGGTTTCAAACTGTAGACTTTGTGGATCAAAGCCCAACACGTAATCACTATGCCATCAGTGTTCCTCAAGCTCAGTGACAGATGAGTGGAGTTGGGTTTGGGGGTAGTGGTGGTTTGGCAGGCCCTGTGGGGCAGGAGTGGGTGCTTAGTATTGAAAGGACAGGCAGATCTTTGAGCCTCTTAGGGGACTCTGCTCTCTCCTCCCAAATTCTAGAGCCAGCCCTACCTATGTTTAAGTGTCCCTGTGTGGGTAGGAGGCAAACAGTGAATCGAGTCAGCATATCACTGAGAGCTGCCTATTGATTGTAGTTTGGGTTAGCAGATATTTTGGCACCAAGGATTTCAAGGCAGAGCAAGCAGTTTTCCCGATGTGATGTAGAGCTTAGATTGTGAGCACCCTGGTTTGCAAAAGGCTTTGGATGGCAGTGACAGCTGAAAATCCATTTATAGGGTCTGAAAATAGATAGTCTCCATTGAATTCTTTCTGAACACTAGCCAAGGATGTAGATAATATCGCCATCAGGCAGAATGCCTTGGAGAGTGGATTACTTCAACCCCTCTTCAGCCAGCCTAGAGAGGGGCAGTCTCTCAGCGGCTTGCCTATGTGTGTCCTTGATGGAGGACACTTTATTGGGGACAGTTAGGTGTGTGTGTGACATCATCATGAGCCTTGCCCTACCAGCCTTGCCTTGACTGTCAGTCAGTTGGAAGGCCCTGGGCCAGCTTTTTTGAGTTTCCTTTGCCTCCCCTGCCCTATTTATCTAGCTTCCCAATTGTGACTCCTCTGCTGCCCTCTCAGCCTTGTGCTAATGGCCTCCCTCAACTAGATGATGTGTGTCTTTGTCTCTCAGTAGATGTTCTCCTTACAGTATATTTTGAGATAGGGTCTCTTTTGTACCCTAAAACAAATGGCATGGGTTCTGCTCAGGGAAGAAAAGAAACGCCAAATTCCAATATATTTATAGATACAACACTTATTAAGTGTTAAACAGGATGGATAATTCATCCAGATGAGGGAGATCATTGGATGAGGCATAATGGTGTCCAAGGATTTACAAGAACTGAGCACTATAATTAGTGCATGAAGTGTAAGGCAAACTCACCGTAAGGGACACTGTGATCAATACCCCACAGTTGCAGGTGGAACTACAGAAATAGGAAAGGGACCATGATTGGGATACATACATTATGCTTGGTAGAAGAGTTTACAAGATTGGGGCCAGGGGTCTCCCTTTTGGATACTGGTATTCAAATCCCAACCAGGACATACCCAGACAAGTTGCCTAAGGGCCAGGGTATTCACATTGCTTCTTTAAATGGTCAGAATTCAGTGGAGATTGAATTTCTGTGGAAACTCCAAAGTGGATTTAGGACTTTTACTGTAAACCATAGCTTCCTGAAAATTTAGTGCTCAGAAACTAAACTCATAAGAGTTCTAATTAATTGGGTATGCGTTCTGTGATCGTCCTTTGACCCCTCTCTCAAGTTCTATTCCTTCCCCATGGCACCCATTTCATACCCTGCTAGGGGAACACACGTTCCCTAGCTCCGATGAACGGTAAAGCTTGTGCGGCTTAGTTAAAAGAGGATATAACGATAATAGAGGAGATTAGATTATGAGCTGGGGTGCTCAGAGCCAATGCATCGAAGGCGTGAGGAGCTTGTTTCTGAACTAGGTCCATAGGTTGGGGGACAAGAGTGCTTTCCGATAGAAGATCCTCAGGTTTGGAAGAAGATGGATGTATAGTTTATCACAACAGAACTAGACTAATATTGCTAGTTGCCGACGAGTCGATTCCAACTCCAGGGGACCCCATGCTTGACAAGAGTAGAGCTACTCTGGTGTAAGTGTTCAATCCATTGTGCCAGGTTCTTCCTGGATAGGCTCCGGAGCCAATGAATTCGAGCCAAGTGGGAGAGTCCGCCTCCCAGCTTTAAAGGTTCGCCTCTCGCCAGCCGATCTGGCCCCATCCTTCTCGTTGATTGGCTGAGAATTCCAATCCGTCGAGGAAGCGTAGCGTCGCGACCAATTGACTTGGCGTTACTAGGCGTGTTGCATCCCGGAGGCGGGAGTCAGGTCGCAAACGAATTTCCTGATTGGCTCTAGTCCGCGGGTTGCTGGGGAGAGGCGCGGAGAGGCGGGCTGGGCTTTCAGGCGCAGGCAGTGATTGGCTGAGGTGAGAGCGGCTCTCCTTCCGATGATTCGGCTCTTCTCGCCTCAGTCTCAGAGAAGCGTCTGCTGCCGTCGTTTGAGTAGTCGTTGCAGCCCCTCACGGGTCCGGAGCCAGCGTCTCCCGCCGGCCCACCGCCCGAGTGCCGCTGGGAGGAAGCGAGAGGGAGGTCGCTGGCTGGTTTGTCGCGGCTGCTCAACCCCCGCCCCCCTCCGCCTGGAGAGCCGAACCTCGGCCTAGTCGGTAGCCCGCTACCCCTCGCAGCCGTTACCCGCGGGCCGCC